TGGTTGCTGCATAAAATAACTAAAAATGTGGCATGAAGTACAGAAACGAAGTATTTAGCAGATACGGTTATAAAAAAAAGTTTATAAATAAGAAGTTGTTTTTTGACAACATTTACTCTCAGTGGGTGAAACATGCAAGAAAGTACAAAAACGCTAAATTAGCTGATTGATGGATTATAATCCGAAGCAATTTCTTCATAAAAAATACTGTTTTTATCTTATTATGTATTTAAATAAGTTTATTTTAAATTTAATTTAAAAATTTTTTTCCTACACTAATCTTGTTTGGAGAAAGGGCAGATACATTTTGAAATCTACTTGAGAAAGTGGCGCTACAAGTATAAAATCCCCAGAAACAATTATTTTATTAGGGGGAATTGCAAGTTCAGATGTCAATTTCGCCCGCTCAGTCTTCTCTCTTTTGCTATTTTTTGCAATTTTTGGCGTACAAAAACGCCTAGTATTATTATCACTGGTGCTTCCTGTAAAGCGGTAATGGGCACTGCCTTGTCCGCGGGCAAAGCTCTTTTAAGCAGATGCACGTACATACGAAATAGAAATGTTTCTATTTTCATCTGACACACAGGTAGAATCATCTGAGTTTAGTTTATTTCGTTTTCAAAGAACATATTTTTAAATAGTTAAATAAAGACTGTGAATTTGATAGACATACGCAATTACATATCGTTACCTTAATATAGAATGGCCCTAACTCATTTGGTCGCTGAAATGCAAAAAATCCGTAACTGACTAAAATTTTTAATTGTTTAAAATGATGTCGGGACTTATGTATATCTCAATGAAATGCATCATAATCAATCACAAGGGAATTTTGAATATTTACTTAGTTCCGGCTTTTGTATTTCAGCGACTGTATGAGTTAGGGCCTTTCTATATTAACGATTATGTATTGAAAAAGTCACATTTACAGATGCAAATACATATCGTGTAAGAACACCTTTAAAGAGTGTACAAAAGCACAACCAATGTCTTTATCTTTGTCTATGTCATCTTCATTTTCATCTCCATTTCCCTCTTTATGTTTGTGTTCATCCACATCTTCATCTACATACATCGTCAACTAGTTACATATTTGTCTTCATATGCTTTCATATCTTTATATTTATTTAATGATTATCTTTGTCTTCTTCTCTTCTTAATTGGCGCTGAATCCGTCAAAGTGATTCTTGCCAATTCCATTTTCGTTATTTTGTTGAGATGATGAGCCTAAATGCACGGCTTCCAATCGGAAAATGGCCAATTAAGACTCCTCCAGCTACATATCTTTTCATACAACTTTGAACCATTGATAAATAAATTCCCTCTGCCCCGATTATAAAGATTGTAATCTTTCCTTGAAGGAGTATTTGTGGTGGGAGCATAAATGGTCAAGTTCATACAGAGTTACTAAAGGCGGTGAAAAATTACTAGGCCATCCGCACATTCAACCAGCCGAAAGGGGTTTTTTATTTTTCAGAATTTCCAACAGATCGCCACATACTAACCGGTTTCCTTAAAACTTTTTTAAAAGCTCCCTCGATTTCAAAAAAAGGCACTGATCGCTTACTCAATAATCTCTACAACGGAGTCTAGAGCCGATTTCATCGATTTGCCCTGTCTGTCGGTAGGCAAGCGGATTTAAGTCCAAGAGCTCCTTGGGAATTTCGTTTCTGATATACAACTCAATTAACCTTTGAAGGGTCTTTGAAAGTAGCGATAAGAGGCGGATTGGTCTGCCTTATTTTGACTGCATATGGCAACTGTTGCCGATGCTTAAAGTGCGAGTACATACATACATACATATGAATGTAGGTGCACATTTTGCTGAAGTGCCTTTGGGAGCATCAACTATTAGAGCATAGTTTCGTACTTTTTAACTAAATATTTTAATATGAAACTCATTCCTTAATATACGAGAAATTCAGTGCAAGAATGTACCCTTTGAAGCATGTATGAACACATTTTCGCTAAAGCAGCTACCAACTTTGCTTTTAGCGCTCGGTATTTTCATAAAGCTTTTAGTATTCAAAATATTCTCATAAGTTTGCAATGCCGCAGGGAATTTGTTGCGCTTTTGCTGTGTCCTTTACCTCCTCCTTTTGATAAATTTTACTTTGTAATATTTACCTTGGTTATTTGTGTGTGTACGTATGTACGTATATGTGTATGTGTTTGTGTTTTTATATGTTTGCGGAATTTGTTTATTACCACGGGTTACAGATTTGGCTGCTCTGCCGTTAGTTCTTCATTCAGTCCTTTTTCTTTTACAAGTCTCTCGTTGGGATAGTTGCTTCAGCCTTCTATTTTCAATTCCATTAACACAAGGTCATTGTAGGTTAACATCTGATAATATTTGACATTTACAACAGTAAATGAGGCCAATAAGATGACCATTTCGATGTGTTAGAAATCAAAAGTGATGCTGCCTAGCATTGGAATGGGAATATTGCGGAATCAAAATTGGCAAAAAGCAATAGGATGAGTCACCTTACCCTATGAATATCTGTAAGTTACACGTAAAGAGTGTGAGAAATACGGATGCACCAGAAAAGGCAGATATAATTTGTCAGTTTCATTTAACGGCTGCTGGCCAGAAATCCCACATATTAACCTACCTCGAAGTGTTCCATTTCACAATGCCTGAGCTGGAATTAGAAACCCTTAAAGGCCTGCGTAAATATAATTTCGGACAGCCAGGCAACGTTAAAGGGCTTAGGTTCATTTAAAGCGAACAAACTATGAAGCTTTAAAAGGCTATCTTGTGATGGTATCAGGTCAGAAAGGGGTCGTATGGCAACAAAAGTGCTGATACTCCCTCAAAACGCAAGTTTCAAGGAAGCCTTTATGGTCTCTACACGGCAGAGCTGAGAGTTTTCTGGTTGCCACGCAATGCCTTGTCGGATAAGCGGTGAAAGTTCTTAGGCCATCTCGGCTAAAGTTACGCAGTCGTTTAGGGACGCCTCGAGAGAGGCATTGCCTTTACCTCTGCTTACAAGGGTTCCCTAACGACTGCGTAACTTTAGCCTAGATGGCCCAAGAACTTTCACAATTTATCTGACAAGACATGGCAATTTAAGGAAGCCTGTATGGTTTCCAACCACTCAATGGTCAATAGAAATTCATATCCTCCGTTCTAGACGTGCCTGAACACCTGCTTAACGCGAGCCCCAAGGGAGCCTTTATGGTATCCAGCCTTTCTGTAATACATCCAAAGGAAGCACAGCAGAGGTTTTTCGAAAATGAGAGCCTTCTCCGGTTGCCATGCAATGATCAAAGCGGCAACTGCAATGCCATAAATTCATATCCTCCGTTCGAGACGTCCCCTAACACCTGCTAAATCTTAGCCGGGATAGCCGAAGAGCTCTTTCTGTCTACCCTATAAGACACTGCAATATGACGAGTGTCAAGGGAGCCTGTATGGTATATGGCCTTGCTGTGGTACGCTCACAAGATAGACTGCAGGGCTTCGTAAACTTAGCTGCGATGGGATTAGAGGCGTCTCTGTTTACCCGATAAGACACTCCAAGTTAAGGTACCATCCAGGTACCAGGCTGAAGAGAGTTAGTCCTGTTGACTAGATATTGCAAGTCTTAGATTCATCTTGCGGAAGGACCATCGCTTTCGACCAGATTCTAGCCTTTGGTTGCAGTAGTTCTTAAAGGGCCAACACCAAAATCCGCACGTAAGGATAAGAAAGAACTACCAATCGGTACCAAACTAATTGGGTTTAGGAGGTGTGTCTTCCGTAGGGTTTTTGCGGGCCGATTTACTACCGTCTAACCAATCACCTGTAGTTTATTTATCTGTTTAGTCCTTTCCAGTGACTGTCTCTTTAACGACGTTTACCTTGAACTCAAATACTCCGAACTATTGTGGTAGCCTTAATTTCTTAACAGGATAAGCAGATATGTGCTTATCCGCTTGTTTATTCAAATTCGAACCATTTGTGAAGAGCTTCATCAGAAACTCATTTAAATGACTCCTCACCATCTTATCAATAAATGCAAAAATTTAATGTGGGACCTTAAAATGATGTCGACACGGTCCTTACGGGGTCCTTTCATTTATATATTTGTGTCGCTTATACAGTCAAAATCTTAGTTTAATTACCTGTTTACTTTACGACTCTACCTTTCAATTTTTACCACCANAAATTTAATGTGGGACCTTAAAATGATGTCGACACGGTCCTTACGGGGTCTTTTCATTTATATATTTGTGTCGCTTATACAGTCAAAATCTTAGTTTAATTACCTCTTTACTTTACGACTCTACCTTTCAATTTTTACCACCTTTCAACTCAAAACTAACCTCCACTCCTCTTTTCTTATCTTTGCAGAAATCCTGTCGTTTTCCTAAGCTCGAAGAATGCGCACACTTTCACTATGAACGTGTGCAGTTGGGCGCATTTTCGGTGCGTCTGATGGACGATAAATCCGAGCTACTCAACAGCAGCATAGCATCACAATCGATCGGTGGCGATATTGCCAGCAGTCAATTGGTGGGGCAGGCGCTTAACAGCAGTGCCACCGGCGGCCCAGCATCGTATCGTTCCTTCTCGCCAGCGAATTGTTGGTTCATCATTAAAGTTTTCCCGCACAACTGTGATCCGTTTCTAGTGAAACGTTCCTTTGACAACATGCAAATGTTGGACGAAATGTTGCATCGTTGCGTCTACGATCGCAAAATAAGCGGTTTGAAGAATCTGGAAGAAATGGATTTCAAAAGTGAGGAAGACGTCGAATATGCTGTGGCTAAGTATCTCGAGCGCTTCTCAAAGATCGCCTCCGATTCGCTAACCTGCGGCACTATACTCACCTGGCTGCAGCTGGACAATAAGGGGCGGCGCTTGCCGCTAGCCGATGGCGATACAATGCGCACGATCAATACACCCGCTGTGGGCGCTGCCTATGGCGTGCGTCGTTATCAAGCGCAGGCATCTGATGAAATTTCGATCGAAGTGGGCGACATGATATCCGTTATTGATATGCCCAGTCCGGCTGAGTCGATCTGGTGGCGCGGCAAGAAGTCACATTTGCAAAAATCTCAATATGAAGTTGGATTCTTTCCGCAGTCGTGTGTGGCCACCATCGGTGATAAGGTGCCACGGCATTTTCCGCTGCCTGCGCCATTGGTCGGTCAGCTGGATGTTTCGCCGACTAAGCCAGTGCTGCGTAAACACGGCAAACTGATTGCTTTCTTTCGTTCATTTATACTGTCACGCCCATCGCGGCGACGCCTCAAGCAGAGTGGTATCTATCGTGAGCGCGTATTCTCCTGCGATCTGTCGGAGCATTTACTCAATAGCGGCCAAGAAATACCGATGGTACTGAAGTGTTGCGCGGAATTTATTGAAGAATATGGCATTGTTGATGGCATCTATCGACTTTCGGGCATAACTTCGAACATACAGAAGTTGCGACGCGCCTTCGACGAAGAACGCATACCGGATTTGGGTAATCCTGAGATGAAACAAGATATACATGCCGTTAGTTCGCTATTGAAAATGTACTTCCGCGAATTGCCAAACCCTTTGTGTACATACCAGTTGTATGATAACTTCGTGGAGGCCATACAGGAGAAGAGCGAGTCAACTGAGCGGTTGCGACTGATGAAGGAAACGGTCTTGAAGTTGCCGCCACCGCATTATCGGTAAGTGAAAAGTGTTCAGAAGAACAGCAATGTGTGTGAGTAGTTTAAATACTCAATTTTAGACGAGGCTCTCAGCTCTAGATAAGAAGCATAAAGCTTGCCTCTTACTAAAGATGATTCTAAGAATTCTTGAGGAGTTTTCTTGTGCTAACATTTAATCTTCTCTCCTCACAGCACTCTCAAATACTTGGCCGAGCATTTGAACCGCATCTCGCAGCACTCTGCGCGCACCAGCATGACTGACAAGAATCTCGCGATTGTCTGGGCTCCCAATTTACTTCGTTCACCGGCTCTCGAGTCTGGCGGAGTGGCCGCTTTGCGCGGCGTAGGCGTACAAGCCGTCGTCACTGAGTACCTGATACGCAATTGTCACAACATATTCGATGCATTCGATGACACGAACGTGCGACTAAGTTACATCGCCACTGCAGGCGCCACACCAGCCACCGAGACGCGGCTCGACTCGCTAACAGACTGCGAGAGTTTGCTGGTTGAACAGCGAGAGCATGATCAATCGCTCAGCTACATGGAGCGTCCCAAAAGTCTTAGCACCGGCGGCCCTAAACTAATTAGTTTGGAGGAGGCTCAAGAGCGGCACTCACGCATCGATGGCATCGATATGAAGTCTTCAATGCCCATCAATATGGTAGCCAGCAATGCGGCCAATATTGGTTCATATATCGAGGTTGGTGGTGGACCATCCAGCCTGCCCGATAAATACCACACAGTGTTGTCGGTGCCACGTAGCTGGCAAAAGCGGAAAACGCACTCATGGAAATCGCTTTTCACGCGCAATCAGCGGCCGATTAGTAATGGCGCCCACGACTCGAAGATTATTGGCGCTGCGGGCGCAGCTGGCGGTAGTGATACGCCACCAGCGCGACACAAAGATGGCAGCCATGCGCAGGTCACCTTCGCTGAGGCAGACTTGATTATTACAAACTCGGGTAAGGTGGGGAAGGCTTTGCACAAGCAGGAGAAACCGAAATCGATTGAACTATTTGATACCAGCATTAGGCGCGACGAAGTGGCAGGCAAGCCGATGGAAGTGTGTGTGCGCTCGAACTCCATAGATAGTCTACGCACAGCGGGTCACTCGCGCTCAGTCTCGCACGATTCCTACTTTGACCTGCTACAGTCGCCGCAGCGCGGACTCGTAACCACTTGCCCTTCGCGTGAACTCTCCGAATTGGGTTTGAACTTCGATCGCGAAGAGCCGGAAATGCGCATCTTCTCCGAGAGTGAATCGTTGGTGAGCTCGCCGCGCGTCGGCAAGGAGAATATACCACCATCGTCGGGCGCTGCTTCACGTCGCATAATGCGCGCGCGCCCCGAGGAATTCTCCAGTCAAACCAATAGCGTAAACCCGAGTCCAAAGAAGCAACCGCGTCTGAATTTGCATCTGTCGCCGAGCGCCGCTTCAGCGCTCGCGAACAACTGGGCTCAGCAGGGCGCTAGCGCAGCAGGCGTGTCAGCAAGCGGAATGCTGGATGCTGCCGGCAACGAGTTGGCTTGCCAGGAACATCGCGCACATCTCTCCAGCGACGAGAGCTGCTGCAAGCGCTACAAGTTGGAGGATCAGTTATCTGATATACAATTCATTGATTGCGGCACGCCTGAGCACACCATAGCCAATTCACAGACGCTATATGCGAGCGTGCAAGTGCATGCGCCACCCAAGTCAGCGCTGTCCAAAAGTTCACTGTATAGTTCGACAGAGAGTGCCAACAAATTGCAAGACGCCGTTAGCGCCAAGGCGGCGCAATTCGAAAAGAAGTATGGCATTAGCACTAAGAGTGGTGATAAGAAAACATCTGCTGGCGCGGCAGCAGCCGCCGCAGCGGGTAGTAATATCATTAGCACACGCTACAGCTATCCCACAGTGCAATTGGGCGCGAAGCGCAAGGATCAAGATTCATTCAAAGAACGCTTCAGCTATCCCGGCTCGGGGTTGAACAATGAACGCCGCTTCTCGACAAAAGATGCTGCAGCGCGTATGCAATTCGAGGAAGAGCTGTGCGCCAAACGTGAGCTCGAAAGCATTACACAAGTACCTTATGGCAGGTAAGTTGTATCGATGTGCGTAAAATTGAAATAAACTAACATTTCTCTCTCCGCAGAAACACAAACTACAACAATCATACATATGCGCCCAAGAATCTACCCGAATTGTTGCGCTCGAAAAATCGCAACAGCTACTGTAATGCTAATGCAACTGAGGCGCTGAATTCGCTGTTATTGCGCAACAGCGCCAATGAAATAACCAAAGATGCCAAATCAGAAATGGAACGTTCTAAAATTTCTGTTACCCCCTCCTCGCCCATGCAAAGTCCACGCTACTCACTGTTGGTTGGCGATACCAGTTCGGAAAATAGCTCGGCGGTTAATACGCCACAATATGATTTGGAACCGTTAATGGCTACCTCGGCAATGTCTGGATTGTCTGCACTGTCGGGCGTATCTTCACTTCATCAACAGCAGCAGCAGCCATTGTTGTTGGGTGTGGACTCTGTCAGCTGTTTGGGCACCTCGCACGAGAGTCTCGGCAGCAGTAATGTGAGTCATTGCATTTTTTGTTTTATGGAGTTAGGAAGTTATTTAGATAAGGAGTGTTCGCTATGCAGAAAATTTGTACAAGTTGGTACCAATTGTTACCAAATCGTGTTCGTTTAGCCAAAAACCCAGTAAAACTTGCAAGGAGAGAGCACAATTTTGACATTTCATTTGGAGGGGAAGTTGCAAATTCGTGCTGGGGAAAGGAGTGTTCGCTATGCAACTGCCAGTATAAATTAGCCAGTAACAAAATTCAGAGAATAAGGTACCTTACTCTCCCAAAGAGAGACTTTTGCCAGTAAGAATTTACAAGCAGGATTGTGGCACACGGTTGCATTTTTGTCAACATTAATTTGAATCAACAAGTTCGTTAAATTTAAAAATGAACAATCTTGTTGCGATTTACCAATGAAAGAAGTATGTAAATATTCGCTTATTCAATTAATTTAATTAATTCCAAACATTTGAAAGGTACCCGGCTGAAAAAGTGGTATTCGTAATCGGAACGCACTTGACACCGCTGTCGATATAGGAAATCCTACAGTGACTTACATAAAGAAATTAAAGCGTATGTTGAAGAAAGTCAGAATAAGAAGAAATATACGTATAGGTCCTGTTTTCAATTCCATCTGAAATAATTAAAAAAATTGATTATGCTCGAAATGCAACCGTGGACGCCAGCTGGCAGTGAAGCTTGCAAATTTTTGCTAATTCCTGTTCGCGCAAAACTTAGTAAGTTTCTCTCTTTGGGAGAGTAAGGTGCCTTATTCGCTGAATTTTGTTATTGGCTAATTCTTACTGGCAGTTGCATAGCGAACACTCCTATAATGGCACATGCTTTGTTTTTACCCGAGTAAAGGGAGCAGACAAATGATTTTGCCCTTCAGAAAGTATCCAAGCTGGATATCACTATAACACACGCAGGCTCCTAGTTCATGGGCGAAAACCTAACGCAATGATCACAGCGGAAGAACTTTGGCTGAGTAGGACGATTGAATGAAGACGCCCTCAACAGGATTAAAAGAACCTGTAGTAACTTCCTGATCATACAAATTGTCATTGATAGTAATAAACTGATTGTAATGCTGCATCCTTAGGCTGATTGTAATTATTTTGTTCCATATGCAGCGCGACCTCTTGAGGCTTGAGGTGGTGTATTCTGCGTGGCTCTTTACCCTGTACTACGTGAAGACTTTAGTCGGTTCTTTATCGAAAAAAAATGCTGTGCAAATGAAGTTCGATCTAATGCCAATCACTGGGTTATTGAAAGATGTACACCCATGTCAATACGGGATGTTTGCCACTTCTCTACCTTCAGCTACAACAAACAAACATTTTGTCATGCCAATATAAAAAAAGGAGAAAGTGAAAGAAATGGAAGCCTGTCCGGGTCAGTTGGAGCCATCCCACCCCTTCTAAGTGCCGACGGCACTTAGCCTTGAGTTCCGCCGGGTTTCTACAAAATGATATCAAAGTCGGTTAATCTAAGTGATGGTATATTCTCTGATCCACGGTAAAAATGGTCGTTCTCCACGTCTGTACACCACGGCTGTCTCTTCTCGATTACCACATACATAGATATTAGAAAAGAGGTATGCACATCTCTATGCACATCTGTCTACTCAGATGAAATAAAACTGATTGTGCAGCAGAAAAATCTCAGAAACTCCTTGTCACCTTAAAGCATTACACACAGTCAATTACACACTGCCTCTTGAGGAGACCAAGCTTTAGTCTAACCTCATCTGTCTTGGATTGGAGGTCCGGAAATTTTCTGTGTACCCTTCCGTCACCAGTTGTCTGCCGAAACCACAATGCCGGCATTCTGTATTACGCTGAAGTGACAGAACTTGGCGGAAAATTAATTTGCATCATTACTAGGCTGAGACTATCCGTGTATTCCGTTATACGGATATCCTCTCGGATGCTCGGATAGAATCCAGATAATATCATTTTTTAATCCCGATATCTGACTAATATCCGTTCTTTTTTTAATGCGGATATCCGATTGATATCCGGATATTCGGATGATCAAAATATCCCTGCCGGATATCTGTATATACGGCCAAAATCCGAATATCAGATTTATAGCTCTTATCGGGTTATATCTAACTACCTAAAAAGGCTATCCAACTTCATTTAAACAATTAATTTATTTGCGTTATTTTCTAATTCGAAAGTATTCTCTCAATTTCCTCCCCCATAGTTCACCTCACACTCGAACATCACGAATGCCTCGCATCCAGAACGACGTGACATGCACGCTCTTAAGCGAGAACTCTCACTCGATTTACAACCGTTGAGCTCAAAAATGACCATCGATAGCGTAGATGCAAGTGGTAATGGTGGCGCTGGACATGCATCAACGTTGCCCTACAATAGACAGCGCGAATTGGCACAGCAACTTATACCTTCGCCTAACAACTCTAATTTTACAGACAATACTAGTCAGTCGGTGACACCCAGTGAATTCGGCTATCAGAACCTGCAACGTCAGTCCAGCATGCATTCGCTGATTGAAACCGAGGCGGAATCGCCAGCGTATGAAGAATACGAGAACACGCCCAGTAATATGGCTTCACCACTGCTGGGCGCGCACAAGCCGCCACCAATAGGTGGACCAACGAGCCCGATACGTGCTACGATTAGCATCACCTACAACATGCGGAGTCCACGTGAAGAATTGCCACCAACTAAATCGTCTGTGGTAATGCGCAATAAGACGAAGACCAAGGGACCTTTGCTGGAGACAAGCTTTGATGAGAACACAGTTTACGAGCAGGTGAAGTTCTTTCGAAATTCGGTGACCGAGGTGAATCAACTGCTGAGCGATGAGCGCAAAAGCAGCATGACGCTTGAGAGTCTGAAGGAGACCAATGAAAATGAGATGCAAGATTACAACGCCTATGAAAATATGCCTCTACTGGGCGATAAAAAAGACTACAAGAGAAACGCGGCTATGAAGGACTGCGACCCCGATGTGCAGATGAGTGGAGAGTCAAATATTTTAGATAGCCTGGAGGAACCATCCGAAGGTGAAGAGGACGAACGCTTGCTGTACGAAAATGTAGAAATGCGCAAGCCAAAGAGCATCTATGAAAATCTTTTGGGTGAAGATTTAAAAAGCGCCGAAGAAAAAGCGAAACAAGAGGCCTCTGACAAGCTGGAGTTGGATAGCCTTGACAGCGTAAAAACGGACACGGACGTGGCGGCGCTCACTACCGAGTCACTACGTGAGGAACTTGCCTGCGCAACTGCAAAAGAGCTAGAACTCGAGGCGCCGCATAGCGCAGGTATAATTGAGAATTCAGCCCGCAAGTCTCCATCGAACTTCAGTGTCAAAGAGCTCGCTACAAAGTTCGAAAGTTCGCCCGTTGAGCAGCTGCCTGCCTTTGATTTCAGCTTCCGCAGCTCGATTAAAAAGCATACAAGCGCAGTGGCCGAGTTGAAAGCCTCGCAATCGAGTCTCACATCGAATGCTGAGCAGTCGGCAACAAAAGATGTCGCAAAACCGAACCTCAAGCAAAAACTTACAAAATCGCAACAAATAACGCGCTCGTTAGATGAAAACGCTTTCGTACGCGAATTTGGCTCGAAGCATCTGCAAGAGTTGAGCACTCGCAGCAGCCAACAGCTACCCGAACTGTCTGAGGTGTCCAATCGCCGCAAGAGTTTCGACTTTACGCGCCCGAAAACACTAAATCCGCCTAAGCGCTTGCCCGGCATACCGATCACCGAGGAGATTTGTTTATCGAAAAATGAAAAGGCGCCTCCACCAGCAGCGCTCAAGCTGGAAAAGAGTCACAATCATGCAGCGGGCGATGCAGGGCTGGAGAACGATTATGAAACAGCTGAGTTGAAAATCACGCCAACCACAGAAAATCGCATTTCTCTCATACAAAATAATGTGAGTTCCTCAACGCAGCAAACTGCAAACGCTGCAAATGCTGCACACACCACCGCATCAGCCCATACTGCCAGCGCCAGCGATTTGAGCAACTCAAATTTGAATCTCTCGACCACCAGCCTCAAAGTGTTATCCGGCGTCAAACTGGACCGCGAGCGCATTGACAAAATCAAAGAGGAACGCCGTCAGCAGCTGACGCAAAAGTATCGTGGTGATGCGACAAATTTCAAATCGCGCTCCAAAACTGATCTACACACTTCATCACACAAAGATGACGACAAATTCAATGCACCCGAATCGTTGCGTGTCAAATCAAAATCCCGCGGCGATATGCGCGCTCTTCAGCAGGAGAATGAAAATGTTAAGGATTTGCTGGGACGCGCACGCCTACTTGCTGGCTCGGAAAGCACTTTGCATGCGCCACGCGTGCGTAGTATTTCCGATGAGAAAAATCAAAATTGTGATGTTAATACTACAACTGCGACAACAGCAACATCGGCTAGCAATAATTGCAATTCAAATGCAAATGCGTCCGCGAACGCTGTGTCCAAAGCAAATGAAGCTGCTCAGACAACCAATATAATAACATCGTCGACGTCGTCGTCTGTGAAGAAGACTACCCCACAAGAGGAGTTTTCAGCGCGCGCCACTGTGCAAAAATTCGAACGAAAGAGTTACGAATTAGCTAACGGCACAGCAGGAGTGTTGGCTTCAAATGTAGCAGCGCGCGAACGTAATAGCAGGAGTGAGCTGATGGGCAGTGGCAATAATGGAGCCAGTGGTGTGGGAAGTGTTGCGCCATTGTCGACCAGCAGACAAAGTTTGACCTCAACGTAAGTAAATTTGCTCTAAGCATTTCTTTAAGCTAAAAAAATAATATGTCNCGAAATATTTAAGCTGTAAACTGCTTTAAAATATAAGTATAGCCTCTGGCTTTACGCGCAATCTGATACATTGGAAGTCATCTTTCGGTTGTCACGAGAGGATTAAATTGCTGCATATTCGCAATCTCCGTCCGTGAAAACGCCTGTAGCATACTTCCATGATGAACGATAGAAAAATCATGAGTATTTCACACCAATGTTAGAAACAAGTGGTGCCATACTAGATTTCCAGGGCGGTTTAAATGACAAAAAATTTAGTAAGAAATTTCGCCAGATTTGAGGTAATTAGAGGAATTTCTCTTTGCTTGGACAAATTTCTTCAAGGCTGCCTTTTCTTACCAGCTTGTCGGTTATGCAGTTACCTACGATGCCACTATGGCGTGTTTTTCACCCAGCCAGCAAACAATCCGGAAGTTGATCCGAAAAAGGAAAAGGATGAAATGCGAATTCTTGTCCGCTTACCGATTCCATTTTCGGATACTTTGACGATCCGTTTTCCACTAAAGTGTGCCCCATAAACGTATGTAGAGAAAAATACCGAAAATAGTTGTGAAATAGATACGTTTCTCGTTCATTCTCGCTTTCCTTCTGCACTTCCCAGAGGCTTTTTCATAGTTGGAAAAAAGTAACAGTTATGGAAGTGCGTAACGGCATTCGAACCCGGCACCTTCTGAAAGCTAAAAAAAAATAGTAGCACGGTCTTCTGCACGTTCAGCCACTGCCTACTATGTATAAATGCTTTCAAATGTTCAGCGTGAACAAATAAAATTATTGCTTCCAAATAACATGATCTTTTTAGAACGTTTCCCGGATACGAAAATGAATACAAATTTAAACTAAATTTGGGGCCCAAAATTGCAGATAGAGTGCGCAAAGCAACAGTACCACTATATTCCTGCAGCAGGGCAATGGGCGAAAAAATGGGAGATGGAACCCAAATTAATACACTGGCTATACACAGCGGTGTTAAGGCCAATTCTCTATCACGGTTTTGGAATGGTGGGATACCATTGGGAAAGGGGTAAACTTTTTAAAAAGATGAATAAAGTCCAAGTCTTGCGTCCACAGTCATAACTGGTGCGATGAGAACAACACCATCTAAGGCACGGTATGTTCTAATGAATTATCTTCCGGTAGACCTACATGCCTAACAGATCTCAAGAGGTGTGGCAATTCGAATAAATATTCCAAATAAGTGGTCAAATACCAGTTACGGTCACGGTTTCCGAAGCTTGCCAGATTGGTGGACTATGCACTTCCGAAACCTACTCTCGCTATAGCGTTTACGACCCACCTAACCTCAAGGAAAGATGGGAAACAAGACGATGTAAGGAGTGCAGAGTCCATCCAGGTATACACAAATGGCTGAAAGCTCAAGGGAAGGGTTGGTCAAGGTGTACACTACCATCACCTGGGAATCTCCTTTAGCTTTCATCTTCCGGACCACTGTAGCATTTTTTGGCGGAGCTTATGGCAATATACAGGGCCACAAAACTGATAAAATGTGATATGATACCCGAAGTTGATAACATCAACTTGATATCTACACTAAAGGCGGAAATAAAATACCTCGCAAAGCAGACGACAACTTCCATGGTAGCCATGAAAAGCCGCGCATCTCTTGACGAGACGGTTGAGTCATTTCACCCAAAGTGATATGGGTTCTGGGATACAGCGACATTGAGAGGAATTGTAAGGCCGATGAACTGGCGCGAGTTGGCAAAAGGCTTCCTATTGAGGAAATAGGAAAACCTTTACAAACTTGCAAGCTACTTTGTATCTCGGAGANTTAGATGATTAGAATCTGTCAGATCAGGACACTGCCTAATTTACAAGAATGCCTATACCTATTTGGAGGTAATTTTAAAGGTCTGATTGAATGAAAAATTGCCTTTGCCTTATAACCAGTGACTGAAAACTGGTTCCCGTTTTGGTTTAGCTCCGCACGATAACAAAATGTAATGTCAATAACGTTCCCGCAAAATAACTAAACAGGAACCAAAGGATTGAGAACAGTTTGACAGGGAACTCTCGGGACGTTCTCAAAATGAATAAAATGAGAACAAATCTGTCAAGAGGCGTTCTCAAGAAGAACAGAATGAGAACAATGGTATCGAGAAAGGTTGAAAGGTTCAAGCAAAATCAAATAAGAACAAAAGTCTGGGGGAACGTTC